TTCTGCCCGTCTTGTGGCATAAAAGCTTGTTTCACGCTGTCCTCGAAGTGGATCCAAGTGTGGTATTTTGACAATATTGGCCTTGTACATAACAGTAAGGCCACCCACATCCCTCCTATGTTGAAGGCTCTGCTGAAATGACAGATCTATCCAGGATGGGTCCAGGCGAGAGATGAGACGTCTTGCTCTGTTCTCTACTCTGTCAAGCAGTCGCAGATGAGAGGGGGGGCAGGCAAACCAAGAAAGTGGAGCATACTCAAGGTGTGAGCGTACTTGTGCCTCGTACAGGATCTTGAAACCCCCTACTGTCAAGCAGATGCGAGATACGGCGAAGTGCTGTAAGCTTCCTGGCTGCCTTGTTTGCAAGATTTACAACATGGTTCTTCATGGTTAGTTTGGAGTCAAATTTCACCCCAAGGATATCAACTTTCTTCTCCAGGTGCCAACATCGTCCCATTCATCCTTACTACTGCACCAGCATTACCATCATGGTGCCTAGAGACGATCATCATTTGCGTTTTCTCAGGTGCAAATGTTACTTGCCATCTTTTTCCCCCAAGCTGATATAGCTCTCAGCTGGTGATTGATGTAGCTTAGAGCAGCTGGCATTTCTTCTCTTGGATAAGTGAATGTCAGTGTACAGTCGTCTGCATATGCATGTGATTCTGGGATGAGATGAAGAAGGTCGTTGAAGTAGACATTCCATAACAGTGGACCCAGCACGCTTCCTTGTGGAACGCTTGCCCCAATAGGATGCCTTGCTGATTCCGTTCCATTGAGGACTACACTTAGAGATCTCCCATGAAGGTAATCACTGAGGAGACATAGCGTAGAGCCTGCAATTCCCAGTGCTTGAAGTTTTACTAAGAGGCCCTGGTGCCACACCCGGTCGAAAGCGCCAGCAATGTCCAGTGCTACCACACAGCTGACTTTGGATTCATCCAGTGACTGGTGCCACTTAGTGGAGAGGTTTAAACAACAGATCAGCAGCAGAGTAACCTTTCCTGAAGCCATATTGACGATCACAAAGTAGTGAGTGGTAGTCAAAAAAATCTGTCATTTGTCTTGAGATTATTGTCTCAAGGATCTTACCAGTGATTAACAGGAGTGACACTGGTCTGTAGTTGCTGATTTCTGCTCTGCTCTTCTTTTTGTGAACAGGGACTACATTTGCCTCTTTCCATGGAGAGGGCCATTTACACTGTACTAGGCAGTGCTGAAAGATGCGAGTTAGAGGTGCTGCTAGCTGGTCTGCACATCTTCTCAACAATCTTGGGCTCAACTTGTCTGGGCCCACAGCCTTTTCTTGGTCAAGTGATTTAAGAAGGAAATGCACCTCCTCCTGCCTTATTGTCACCACTGACAGTTTTGACACAGTTCTTGCAGCTAGCCAAGGAGGGTCCTTGCTGGATCAGGAACTTGCATTTTGGTAGCAAAGTGTTCAGCAAAGAGGTCCGCCTTCTCTTGACTACTAGTAGAGGTGGTCCCATCCTGTCAATTTAGAGGTGGAATAAGTTCATCAGGCAGATAACCTTGTCTGTCCTGACCAGGGACCACCAGGTTTTGGAGCCTACCCTACCTGATGCTAACTTTCTTTTAGTGTCCACCTCCCATTTAGCAATGGCCCACTTTTGAACATCACCCATATGCCTACAGGCTTGCATGTGCAAGTTCCTGTTATAGGTGGTAGGATGTCTCTTATACCTTCGCCATGCTTTGTACTTAGCAGTAGCAGCCTCTCTACAACGAAAGCCAAACCAAGGCTGATCTGTAGGCTTTGTCACATATTGCCGGTGAGGAATGTGTTCTTGTTGCAGATTAAGGATGTGTCCAGTGAAGGCTTTCACTTGGTTGTCAACATCCAGTCGGTGGTGGCGAGCTCAGAGCAAAGGGCTGGCCAATTACCTCTTTCCCATAGCCAGGTTGTGGTGTGGACTCCTCACCTCGTTCTGTTGGGATCTTAAGTGTGGTAAAAACAGCCTTGTGGTCAGACGATCCAACGTAGCCGAGGGGTTGACAAGTGACTATGCCTTCTGCCAGATCACTCACTACTGGGTCAAGGGAGGAGCCAGAGATATGAGTAGGGAAATCAACAAAGTTTCTCATGTCAAACACTGCAAGAAGGTCATCAAAGTCCCTCTGTATAAGGTGCTGGTTGAGGTCACCAACAATTATAATATGTTGACAGTTGTGTTGTAGCAGAAGGGAGTCAATATTTTCCATTAGGAAGTTGATAGGGTCTGCATGTTGCCACTGAGGTCTGTACATTGCACATGCTAGTACAGAGGTACTAGTGTTTATACAGAGCTTGAAGAACATCATTTCAAGATGTGTAGGGTGGCAACATCTATGTGCTGGGCATGAACACTTTTAGAGAAGCACACAGCAACACCACCTCCTTGCCCTTGCCTGTCTCTTCTCATCCATGAGGTGTAGCAGCAATTCTTGCAAAATTTTCTGGAGTCCTGTCATCCAAAAATGTTTTCAACAACAGTACCATGTCGGGAAAGTCGAGTGTTCACAAAGCTATGTGTGAGCTCTCCAACATTAGTAATGAAACCTCTAATGTTGGCGACAGGATGCTGATAGATGGCTCCTCATGATTGAAGTGGTCAGCTTGAGGTGGTGGGTGTGTAGGGAATGTAAGGTGCCTGCCTTGAGAGAGGTAGGGTTACTGAGGCAGCTGCAGGGATGTAGGTCTGTGGTCTTGTATAAGGCCCAATCCCACCTGCTGGGCTGGGATAGGTAGTAGCTAAGTGGGTGACGTGTGAAAGTGTTTACAATTCAGAGATCCTGCTGGTTTGTTCTGAGAACTGGTCTCTTCTCTCTCTCTCTTCTCTCTCTCTCTCCCCCTCTCTCTCTCTCTCTCTCTCTCTTCTCTCTCTCTCTCTCTCTTCTTTCTCTCTCTTCTCTCTCTTTTTTCTGTCTCTCTGTCTCTCGTCTCTGTCTCTCTGTTCTTTTGCCCTCTGTTCTCTTCTGTCTCTGTCTCTCTGTCTCTGTCTCTCTCTTTCTGTCTCTCTCCCTCTCTCTTGTTCTTTTCTCTCTTTCTCTTGTCTCTGTCTCTCTCTCTTTTTCCCTCTTCTTTCTCTCTCTTTTCCCCTGTCTGTCTGTCTGTCTGTCTCTCTCTCTCTCTCTCTCTCTCTCTCTCTCTCTCTCTCTCTCTCTCTCTCTCCTCTCCCTCCCTCCCTCTTCCTGTCTCTATTTTCTTTCTTTTTTTTTTTTTATATATATATATATATATATTTTTTTTTTTTTTTGTGGGTTGAGTGTGTGTGTTGTGTGTGTGTGTGTGTTTGTGTGGGTGTGTGTGGGTGGTGTTGGGTTTGCCGAATATGTAAAACTGGTCAATTAGCAAGAATTCATTTAAAATTATGTCCTTTCTAAAGTTTTCTCTTATACGTTTAAAGATATATTTTTTCATTAATGTTAATGTATTTTTTTTAAATTTGCACCAAAAGAAACTTAGAAAACTTACCTAACCTTGTTATAACAAGAACAATTTATTTTAGCCTAACCCAACTAAATATATTTTAGATTTGTTTACAGTAATTTAATACTAAACAAACACAATGAAATATATTTTTTTCGTTAGGTTCAGAATGATTTTGCGAAATTATTGCATACACAAATTTTCGCTTGTCTTATATGGCAAGATGAGCGTTGCTATTTAAGCCAAGATCGCAAGTTCTGCCTATTCGGCACGACATTATATATATATAATATATAATATATTATATATATATATATATATATATATATATATATATATATATATTTTATATCTGCAAGACAAACTACTGAGGGGGGAAATCTTTAGCTTAAGTGCTTTTACATTTCTTAGTGCGTCATCAGGAGTTGTGCAATGTTGCAAAGGTAGCAACAGGAGAAAGGAGAAGTATTCTCAGAGGACAGTAGAGTGACTCCCGCCAGCGTCCATAAGATTCCTTGTAAAATTTGCGATAAAGTTTATTACGGTCAAACTGGTAAAAATCTCGAACTAAGATTAAAACACCATAAATATAGCATTAGAACTGGACAAGGTTCCAATGCTCTATTTATTCGTGTAAGAGATTTTAACCATCCAATTGATTTTCAAAAAGTTGAGAAAGTAGTATCAAGCAAGTCCATGGTCGACAGGAATATAATTGAACTTGTTTCATAAAAAGCAGTTTTGACAATAATATGAAAATTTCCTTTGGTGTATATATAAATTAGATCCATTTATAATTAATAGAATTTGGGAGAATTTAATAATACACTGGACAAATAATAATTTTTAAATTTCTTGGTAGAATAGTTTGTTGGTGAGTTGTGCAAAGGAACCGTCCAGTTGGGCCGGCGCGCGTCAGGTGTTTAACCGTTGTGGGATCTGATAGTGAGGTGTTGGCCAGACCCTTATATAGCTTCCTTGGATGCTTTACTTTCATAGTTCCTTGATAATGTGAGTAGTCACGAAAGCGCTTGGAATTTCTCTATTTCTTTCAGAGTGGTTGTTTGCATATTCTGAAATCACACTGTTTACTGTGATCTTATTGCATGTATATAAATATATATATATATATAATAAATATATAATATATATATTATATATTATATATCTATAATATATATAATATATATATATATATATATATATATTTGTATCAGTCTCATTATTGTGGAATACTTATGAATGGAACCTGCCACGGTATTATGGATCACTTGTCAATTGTACCAGTCATAGTATGGAAAAATTCTTCATTATATTTTTCCAGACAAGGCTGACTACTCGACATACGATCTTTCAGATTACAACTTTACCAGGTGAGTTCTTCCTTGTCTTGAGTACTTCCCTTGTCTTAAGTACCTTCCTTGTCTTGAGTCCCTCCTTGTCTTGAGTCCCATCTTTCTTGTGATGTATGTCTGCTTGCTTACCTGTCTATCTATTCGCTTGCCTGCTTGTCTATCTGTACATGAATGGTATACAATCCCGACAAGATTGTATACCAAGTTTGTGCAACATGTCAGAAACTGCAACATCATGGAATCTTGGTTCAGAGGACGTCTCCACAACCTTCATCACTACTACTAACCCGTCCCTCGGGTATGACCTACTTCCACTGGGAAATCCCGCTTACCAATGACAATGCCTTCGTTTACTGCCCATCTCTTATCACCTGACGCCAGTACATAAGCACCAGCCTTCTTGTCAGTGCCCCAGATTCTTCACGACTACGGTGCTCTTCACCAACTCCAAGGCTGAGGGACTGATTACCTCATCTTTTGTATAGAGTTCTACTGTCTTCTTATTATGTCCCTGAATTTGTATTGATAAAGTAACTGGTTGGCGAAACGTCTACAATAAAGACACCCAGATGTTGCACATGTCTAATTTTCATGCTTGTCTATCTGCTTTCCTATCTTCCTCTTCATCTGTCTTCTATTTTCCTGTCTCTGCCTACCTGTTTGCCTATCTTTTTGTCTGCCTGTCTTCCTGGCTGTTTGCTTGGCAGCCTGTTCAACTACCATCCTGCTTGTCTGACTTCCTGGCTGTTTGCTTGGCAGCCTGTTCAACCACCATCCTGTTTGTCTGACTTCCTGGCTGCTTGCTTGGCAGCCTGTTCAACCACCATCCTGCATGCCTGCCTGCCGGCGCCTGCTTGCTTATTTATTTGCTAATAACGAATGCAAAACTGACGTTACAATGACGTAACATTTTACAAAAACTCGTAAACCTTTAAAATTCACTGACCGAAAGTCATTTATAAGGCAGAAGAGAGCCAAAATTTTGATTTTTATTTCATTCGAAAAGCTCTGTGCCCTTTTCTGTGTCCAGCTGACTGTCTACTAGCCTGTCTTTCTGTCTGTTCATCTCTTCTAGCCCGCCTGACCGTCAATTTGCCTACCTGTCAGTTGGCCCACCTATCTGGCTGTCTGTTTGGCTCTATATATTAGATTTAGACATTCATATCTATTCATATAATATATATAAATCCGTGTTTTTGTTTGATTTTGACTCACCTTTTGTTTTTTGTCTCTAAGTTTCATTTAGACACGTTTCTTGTTTATCTTAATTAGAAGCGTAGTTTATGATTTAGAAATAACTTTCTCATTACCCAAATTAAGTCACGAATTCTCTATTAAATTTAGACGTGTCTATTTAATTTAAACGTGTGCCACTCCAAACTGTAGTTTGGATTTGCATGCGTCTCTGTGTGGCTTAGATGCGTCTGCAATTCTCTGTCTAATTTCTCTGTCAATCCTAACCTAAATCTATGTCTGTCTGATAGGGCTCTCTGTCCCAGAGGCAGCAAGATAGTCTATTTATGTCAGCTAGTTGTCTGTTTTAAAGCGATACTGACGTACACCACAGACATTCTCGTAGAATTTCCTGCTACTCTCTTCTACCTGTCTACTGGATTGTTAGTAGATAATGATAAGGATAATAATAATAATAATAATAATAATAATAATAATAATAATAATAATAATAATAATAATAATAATAATAATAATAATAATAATAATAATAATAATAATAATAATAAACTTTCACCATCAAGACAGTGATGGAGTGAATGATGGTGAAAGTTTTTCTTTTTCGGGCCACCCTGCCTTGGTGGGAATCGGCCAGTGTGATAATAAATAAAATAAAAATAATAATAATAATAATAATAATCGTACTTCTCTCTGGTTCCGTGTTCCTTGCATTTAGTCGTATTTACTTTGGGTTGGTATCTTCAATTCTGCAGACAGAGAAGAGAGTAAGAAAGAGGAGAAGAGGAGAGGGGAAGAAATGAGAGAACTGTTAGAAGTAATGGAGGGAGGGAGGAAAGAAATTGGGGGACTGAAGGAGGAAAGAAGGAAGGAAGCGAGGGAGATAAGAAAGGAGGGAAGAAGAAAAGGAAGAGAGGATGAGAGGGTGGGAGAGAGAAAAACGAAGGGGCACAACAACTTTGAGTGACCCCTGGCGACAATCTTCAACAGGTCACCGGACACAACCTAACTGCCAGAAATCTTCGATAAAAAAAACAAAGTTTTACGTTATCTATATATTGAGAGAAATCAGGCAGGCAGGCAGGCAGGCAGGCAGGCAGGCAGGCAGGCAGGCAGGCAGGCAGGTAGGCAGGCAGGTAGGCAGGCAGGCAGGCAGGCAGGCAGGCAGGCAGGCAGGCAGGCAGGCAGGGCAGGAGGCGGCGGGCAGGCAGGCAGGCAGCAGGCAGGCAGGCAGGCGGGCAGGAGGCAGGAGGCGGGCAGGAGCAGGCAGGCGGGCCCAGGCAGGCAGAGCAGGCAGGCAGGCAGGCAGCGGGTAGGCAGGCAGAGGAGCGGCAGGCAGGCAGGCAGGTAGGCAGGAGGCAGGCAGGTAGCCAGGCAGGGCAGGCACAGGTACAGGCAGGGCAGGCAGGCAGCAGGCAGGGGGAGGCAGGCAGGCAGGAGGCAGGCAGGCAGGCAGGCAGGCGGGCCAGGCAGGCAGGCAGGCAGGCAGGCAGGCAGGCAGGCAGGCGCAGGCAGGCAGGCAGGTAGGCAGGCAGGAGGCAGGCAGGCGGGCCCAGGCAGTGGGCAGGCAGGAGCAGGCAGGGCAGGCAGGCAGGCGGGCAGGCAGGCGGGCAGGCAGGCAGGCAGGCAGGCAGGCAGGCAGTTTAGCAGGCAGGCAGGCAGGAAAGCAGGCAGGCAGGCAGGCAGGCGGGCGGGAAGGCAGGCAGGTCGGGCAGGAGGGGGATTTAGAGAGCAGGCAGGAGGCAGGGGATTTTGTAGGCAGGTGCAGGGGCAGGCAGGCAGGCAGGCAGTGGGGAAGAGGCGGTGGAGGCAGCAGTAAGCAGGGCAGGAGCAGCAGGCAGGAGGCAAGGCAGGGGTGCAGGCGGGGTAGAGGGGGGAGGCAGGTAGCAGGCGGGGCAGGCAGGGCGGGCAGGGCGGGTTGGCATGCAGGAGGCGGGAAGCAGAGCAGGGCGAGGCAGAGCAGGCAGGCAGGCAGGCAGGCGGGAGGCAGGAGGCAGGCAGGCGCAGGCGGGAGGGGCGGGAGGCAGGCAGGCAGGAGCAGGCAGGTAGCAGGCAGGTAGCAGGCAGGAGGCAGGCAGGCAGGCAGCGGCAGGCGGGCAGAGCGGCAGAGGCAGGCAGTTAGCAGGCAGGGCAAGCAGGCAGGCAGGCAGGCAGGAGGCAGAGGCAGAGGCAGGGGCAGGCAGTTAGCAGGCAGGCAGGCAGGCAGGCAGGTAGCAGGCAGGTAGCAGGCAGGCAGGCAGGCAGGCAGGCAGGTAGCAGGCAGGCAGGCAGGCAGGCAGGCAGGTAGCAGGCAGGTAGCAGGCAGGTAGCAGGCAGGTAGCAGGCAGGCAGGCAGGCAGGCAGGCAGGCAGGCAGGCAGGCAGGCAGGCAGGCAGGCAGTTAGCAGGCAGTTAGCAGGCAGTTAGCAGGCAGGCAGGCAGGCAGGCAGGCAGGCAGGCAGGCAGGCAGTTAGCAGGCAGGCAGGCAGGCAGGCAGGCAGGTAGCAGGCAGGTAGCAGGCAGGCAGGCAGGCAGGCAGGCAGGTAGCAGGCAGGCAGGCAGGCAGGCAGGCAGGCAGGCAGGCAGGTAGCAGGCAGGCAGGCAGGCAGGCAGGCAGGTAGCAGGCAGGCAGGCAGGCAGGCAGGTAGGCAGGCAGGTAGCAGGCAGGCAGGCAGGCAGGCAGGCAGGTAGCAGGCAGGCAGGCAGGTAGCAGGCAGGTAGCAGGCAGGCAGGCAGGCAGGCAGGCATGCAGGCAGGAGCAGGTAGCAGGCAGTTAGCAGGCAGGCAGGCAGGCAGGCAGGCAGGTAGCAGGCAGGCAGGTAGCAGGTAGCAGGCAGGCAGGCAGGCAGGTAGCAGGCAGGTAGCAGGCAGGCAGGTAGGCAGGCAGGTAGCAGGCAGGCAGGCAGGAAGGCAGGTAGCAGGCAGGCAGGCAGGTAGCAGGCAGGCAGGCAGGCAGGCAGGCAGGCAGGCAGGTAGCAGGCAGGCAGGCAGGCAGGCAGGCAGGTAGGCAGGTAGGCAGGTAGGCAGGTAGGCAGGTAGGCAGGCAGGCAGGCAGGCAGGCAGGCAGGCAGGCAGGCAGGCAGGCAGGCAACCAGGCAGGCAGGCAGGGAGGCAGGTAGGCAGACAGGCAGGTACGCATGCAGGCAGGCAGGCAGGCAGGCAGGCAGGTACCAGTCAGACAGGCAGGCAGGCAGGCAGGCAACCAGGCAGGCAGGCAGGCAGGCAGGTAGCAGGCAGGCAGGCAGGCAGGCAGGCAGGCAGGTAGCAGGCAGGCAGGCAGGCAGGCAGGCAGGCAGGCAGGCAGGTAGCAGGCAGGTAGCAGGCAGGCAGGCAGGCAGACAGGCAGGTACGCATGCAGGCAGGCAGGCAGGCAGGCAGGCAGGCAGGCAGGTAGCAGGCAGGTAGCAGGCAGGTAGGCAGGCAGGCAGGCAGGCAGGCAGGCAGGCAGGCAGGCAGGCAGGCAGGCAGGCAGGCAGGCAGGCAGGCAGGCAGGCGCCGAACTACACATTGGTATCACTGACACGCATACTAGCTAAACTTCTGCAGAAGATTGTAAGGAAGAAATTCGTGGAGCATCTAGAAAGTGAGAGATTTGTCGGAGGAAACTACCCAGGATTCTGGGAATGAAAAAAAAATCCCGTCTCGTGAACCTTTTGGAGTTTCACGACGGAGTTACAAAGATTAAGACAGTAAAGACAAGTCTAGGTGAACTGCAGTTTCTTGGATTGCATGAAGGCCATTGACACAGTCACGCCAACAGACAAGTAAACAGCAGGAGACTATCTAAAAGAAAGGAGAGAAGAGAAAAGTAACAGGGAGGTGGGAGGCGTCAGAATGTGGATATATAACGAGTGGGGTACCAAAAAGGATCAGGGCCACTGCTGTTTTTAATTTTCATTAGATAATATCTCAGAGGAAATTGATTCAAGTGTATCCTTAATTGTTATATGGTAAAATTTAAGTGAGAACTGGAGCAGACTCCCGGAAGAAAAGAACAGATCAAAGGTAGGTTAATAAGTGACTGTTGGATTTCAATCCCACCAAATTATGGGCGAAACATCAACGAGAAGGTTTTCCCCAGGTTACTGTGTATTGTTTCAGCTTATTCGCTTAGTCTCATTGTATACCT